TTTATGGCCTTAAACAAGCATCTGGGCAATGGTTCAACAAATTGTCAAGTTGCATCATCTCTAAATGTTTCATTCAATTCCAGTCAAATCATTCATTATTTACCAAACTCAATGGTTGCTAATCCACCATTTTATTGGTTTACATTGATGACATCATCATTTCTAGAAATGATGCAATGTATATTGATCAGTTCAAGAAAGTTTTGGATCAACAGTTTAAACTAAAGGACCTAGGAGCTCTGGAGTTTTTCTTAGGTTTGTAAATACCTAGAAACAACATTGGAATCTCTATCTGTCAGAGGAAATATGCCTTAGAATTCTTGGACGATGCAAGATATTTAGGTGCTAAACCTGCCAAGACTCCCATGCAGCAGAATTTGAAACTCACTAAGTCAGATGGTGAGCGAATCGCTGATCCTTGCACTTACAGAAGACTAGTAGGCAGACTTTTCTAACTCACCATTACCATACCAGACCAGACCTTGATTATCCAATTCAAATTCTTAGTCAGTTTGTTGACTCACCTAGACAACCACACCTTAATTTTGCTTTCCATGTAATACCTCAAGGGAACTGCAGGACAGGGCCTATTCTTTGGGAAGGATTCAGAGGTCCAGCTTAAAGGTTTCTGTAATGCAAACTGGGCTGTATGCTCAAATACTTGAAGGTCAGTCACAATGTATTGTGTCTTTTTAGGGAATTCCCTAATTTCATGGTAATCAAAGAAGCAAGGCACTGTGTATAGGTCTTGAGTAGAAGCTGAATACAGAGCTATAGCTGCTGCAGTATGTGAATTAACATGGCTGTAATATATACTTACTGATTAGGGGATTAACCACAAGAAACCAGCACTGCTGTTCTGTGACAATCAAGCAACCATACATATTGCAGCAAATCGGGTGTATCATGAAAGAACACTATTAAGCAATATGGGAGTTCATAACTTTCACCTTCCATCTTGAGGGGGCATATTGTATATAGTATTTATTCATTTCCTTTCTTTCTGTTAAATTATTGGTGACATGGCAGATTAGTTAATATCCCTTGTTTTTCTATTTGGATTGTACATCCATTTCATCTTCTAGTTAGTTAGTTAATTGAGAACAAAACTATATATATACTTATAAGAATTGATCAGTAAAGCAAGTGAACGAATTCACTGTCACATTCTTTTGACTCCATTATTTTCATCTTCTTCAGACATTGCCAATTGAATGGTGTTTAGAGGTTGTTCGGCCCCCAATTGTAGCTTGAGGCTGATCGAAGGTAGGGAAGAAAACGACAGTGTAAACGTCGTTTCTAACAGTTTGGGTAGTAGGAAGGAAGCTTTTATATATTTGAAGTGGAAGTAGTGATGATGGTGGTGGTAGGTTGTGGATTTGAGATGCCAACGGTGATTTGAATGGTGACAAAGGTGGTGGTAGACATATAATATATTTAACAGGAACTCCATCACACAATCTCGTTACCATTTGGCATGTCCCAATTCCTAACGTTGAAGTTCTCCCTTTTCTTTTTTCTATCAATGTTCCGTCAGTCCCAATAAAAATCAAGTCTCTATTTAACAAATTTATAAATAGTTTATAAAGAAAAATAGTAGTGAATTTCACAAAAGTGTGAATAATAATGAGTCTGCTATAACCATTTATAAATTGTTATCGAGACGGCAGTTTAAGTAAAGTAATGGACAAAAAAAAAAGGTTCCCCATCTACCACATTGGTGAAATATCACTAACTCGATCTTCAATGTCAATGACGGGGTAAGTAGAAACAACCCCAGAAAGATTGCACCTTTCAACAGTTGATTTTAAAGCTAGTGATTATGGAAACTCAAATTTCTTTGTTATTGCAATGTATCGCATTCGTATATTAGAAATTAGGGTTCATAGAAGCATGTTGGTAACCTGGATGGTGGTTAGAGGTTGTGTGAATTGAATTGAAAATTAGACTTATTGATCATGGTTGCTGATAGCTAAAGAAACCTTTAATTTGTACCAAAGTTGATGTTGACAAGTTTGAATTCAATTTGAAATAGACCAACGATGACTGTGAGGTTGCCCAAACTGTATTCATCATTTTCTAGATTATCTTGCCTCAATACTGGCGAGTATACCGCTACTTTTTTGTGTCAAGGTAGAGATTGAGTTGGATGTTGAGAATTTACTTAGTCATGCATAGCGGAAATAAAATAATTTTCAATTCTCAAACGAGGATCTGCAATGTGTTTAGATAGAAACTGTGATGAGAATGATACCTTTGATGAATTCCACAAACTCTTTTGCTTTTCCTTGAACTCCAATGATCACGATCTGCAATCCAAGCTGTCCAATTGTCCAGCCTCCAATGGTGATCCACACAGAGAACAAGAATGACGGCTAGGGTTTTCTTTTCTTGTGCTAGCAAGAATAATGAAAA